TGTCTCCTCTAATGATGCCTCCCACCTCATGCCTTGGTCCTATAGGCCTGGCCCCAATATCAAGGAAGTTGGTGGCTTACAGACCACTCACCAGGTCAAACACCCTGTTAGATGGAAGGACTATGATGGGAACACGGATGTCCTTTTTCCCCTGGTAGCTGAGGTGTGGCAGCCATGTTGGTCATCACGGATAGCTTGGTTCCGATTTTGCTGCTTAAGTTTTGTTTACCGTGAAGGGCTACCATTTATGAAGGGCTAGCGTTTAAGAGAAATCAGCAGTTGCTCTCCTGATGTCAAACGTCATCGTTGCCTGGGGAACGCTAATAGTCTTTGTGGTTTTACTTCCTTCTGTTAACGCTTGTATTGTATTCTCGATTCATTAAATTTTGGCACCTTGATCAGAGAACTTGATTGACTTGGTGTCCTCCTTGTGTTGCCCCGCCTTTCTTTTCCCCAGCCCTCACTCAGGAGGTATTCCAGTGTTGCTGCAGGCAGTGACAGGTGGTGCTGAAACCTGGGATCCTGAGAACGAGGAGACACTGAGGCCAGTGAAAATGGACCACAGGAGCATGCACAAATCAACTGACTAAGGTAGAGTCGGGTGGCAGGATTTATCAAATCCTTAAAACAGGTTCTTAAGACACGAGGTATACATTTTAAATTAAAACTCTGCAAGATTTTTTAGACCAGGTTGATTATTATTGTTCCTGGTTTCCTGAAAGCAGAAGTTTGAATTTGGCTATGTGGGACCAAGTCGGGTCAAAATTAAAAGAAAAAGAAGCTGGGGCTATGACTTTTGTGTTACGGCTTTAATAAATGAGGCTCTTTAAGGCAGAAAAGTCTGATGAATGTACTAAGGAGTCTATGGACTCCATTAGGGCCCACTTAAAAGAAGTTAGAGAAGAAAAAAATGTCTCAAAAAGAAGAAGGTGAAAAAGTGCCTCAGGGACCTTCTGACCCAGATGATTGGGTGGATCTGGCTGAGACTAAAGAGGAAGTTGAGCCCCAAATGAGAAAAAAGAAAATTTTTTATGGATCAGCCCAGAGAGCATTAGAGGAAATTCATGAGGAGAAAGGACTAGACATAGAAGATGAGGCTGATCTGGAGGAGGAAGCTGAAAAATACCACAATCCAAATTGGCCCCCTTTGAAATCTAAGGGTCCATGTTCCTAGAAAGAACTGATACAACACAATGGGGCAGGCAAGGGAAGAGAATTTATGTCTCCTATAGAACAGGTTATGGATAGGGCTAGACGAAGGGGTGAGAACCTTTCTGAGTTCCCTATGGCCTACCCAGTTGTTGAGGCTTTGGATCCACAGGGAAATAGAATCAGACAACATGTTAACATCGAATTTAAATAATTAAAAGAATTAAAAACAGCGATTTCCCCCTATGGGCCTACCGCCCCTTTTACTTTGGTGCTTTTTGAAACCTTAGCTGATAATAATTTAACTCCATTGGACTGGAAAACTGTGACTCGGGCAATACTGTCCAGAGGAGGTTATCTCCAATTCTCCCGCAGAACCACCACCCTTAATGTCCAGACTGGAAACCCTGCATGAAATTTAGATATACTGATAGGAGAGGGCCAATATGAAGGTAATCATAATCAAATTAATTACTCCCTGCAGTCTACGCTCAAATTGCAGCCACAGCACGTAGAGCCTGGCAAAAATTGCCTTCTAAGGGAGAGATGAACTCTGCTCTGGCAGTATTAAGCAAGGATCTGATGAACCTTTCCAAGAGTTTGTGGACAGGCTGCTAAAGGTAGCAGGAAGAATTTTTGGAGATCTGGAAGGTGGAGTCCAATTTGCAGCAACTGGCTTTTGAAAATGCTAATTCTCTTGCTGCTGCCTGTGGATCAGGAAGATGAACTCTTAGCTCCAATGTGTACTAGTGTACTGCCATGCTCTACCCCATGAGGATAATGGACTAGACCTCTGAAACTCTTGGCGGAGCCAAGATGGCAACTAGCACACACAGCTTCTGAGCTGTGGAAGAGCTGAACGTCTGAGTTGGTGAGTGGAAGGACCTCTGAACCCAGGAAAACAACAGTGAGGCTTTCTAAACAACAGGGAACATCGCAGGAGGTGAAAACTTTGGTCTCGGGTCACTGGGTCACCCGGGGACTTGTTTGGGAAAGGCGAGAAACGATCCTTTGATCTCCGGCACTCCCCTCTCCCAGACCTCCCTCCTCCTCCGCGCAGCGGACTCATCTTTCTCAGCGCAGACCTAACTGCCTGGGGTCTGCAGCGGCTGAGGCGAAGCTCCTAGCCCTTTAGCGGCAACTGCCAGCGGTACTGGTCCCAGACCCGCACAGCGGCACCATCCTCCCAGGGTCCCGGGTCTGCTAGATGCCACACTGGCTCCACAGGATCGCGATCACTGACGGTACGGCCCACCCAACCCCACAGTGACAGAGAATACGCTACATACTCACCAAAACCAGGCAGAAACGCCATACAAGCTAGGCACACCAGGTGCTGGGCCTCCTAAGCTTGGAGAGCACAGTGGAGAGACCCCAGGACTTCCCAGAAATCATCTGGACTGGCAACCCAGTTACAGCAGGACTTCCTAACCTGGCGGCAGAGCAGCACTGAGCTGGCGGGGCACATCAACCCTCCGGCTTAAGACCAACCAGGGCCAAACCAGAGAACAGAGAGCCTGGGTACCCTGATCCCAGCTGATGTAACCACCTTGAGATCTCCAGCTGCAGCGGGACCTCCTAACCTGGCAGTGGCAGCAGCACTGAGCTGGCAGAGCACATCAAAAAGCAGGGCCAAACCAGAGAGCAGAGAGCCCGGATACCCCGATCCCTGCCAAGTGACCTGCCTGAGAGTGAGGGCACCCTTGAGAATCTGCAGAGCCCCAGATTCAGGGCCCTCCTAAAACAGAAGCCAGGCATCGAACCCCTCCCACCCACATACCCACTTTGGGAAACAGAGTCACTTGGGACATTGAAGCCCCTGCTCTGTGGGGCCAATTGAGGAGTTAAGGCAGTTAATGCTCGACCATCACTAGCGCCTGCTACATATACAGTGCAGAGCCCCTCCCACTCACTCAAGGGTTCAACATTATCTATCACTCTGTCCCCCGAGACACACTTCCACACACACTTCTACACACACACACAAACATACACAAACACACGCACGCACGCGCGCGCGCAAGCGCCTGCATTTGCCCCGTTTGTGCCTGCGTAATTTTCTCCCACAGGTACAGTTAGTCCTCAGCACATGCTGAGGACACGGGACCTCTCTCAGCTTCCTGAAGAACTCTCCAGACACCAAAGAGAGACAAAACACTAAATCTACAGAACAAAGAAAAGATATTAAAAGCAGCAAGGGAAAAAGGCTAAGTCACACCTGACTTCTCATCAGAAACTATGAAAGCCAGAAGGGCCTGGGCAAGTGTCATGGAGACTCTAAGACATCACAAATGTCCACCCAGACTACTATACCCTGCAAAGCTTTCAATCAACATAGATGGAGAAAAAAAATATATTCCATGACAAAACTAAATTTATGCAATATCTACACAGCAAACCAGCCCTACAGAAGATACTAGAAGGAAAACTCCAATCCAATGAAAACAACTTCACCCAAGAAAACATGGCACACAGATAATATCCCAACAAAAATGAAAAGAAAACAAGCAATGAAACACAGTAAGACCACCGACTCCAATACAAAAGAAACTGACATTTATTGGCCACTATTATCTATCAACATCAATGGACTCAACTCGCCAATAAAAAGACACAGACTAACAGAATGGGTGCGAAAACAGGATCCAACATTCTGCTGCATCCAAGAAACACACCTTTGCAACAAAGAGAAACACTACCGCAGAGTAAAGGGCTGGAAAAATGTCTTTATAGCAAACGAACCCAGAAAACAGGCTGGGGTAGCTATCCTAATATCTAATAAAACAGACTTTCAACCAAAATTAATCAAAAAAGATGAGGAGGGACACTACATTCTCATCAAAGGAAAAAGCCACCATGAGGACATCACAATTCTGAACGTCTATGCCCCAAATACAAGAGCGCCTACATTCATAAACAAAACATTACTAAAACTTAAATCACACATCGATCCCAACACCTTGATAGTGGGAGACTTCAACACCCCACTTTCACCAAGGGACAGATCATCTAGACAGAAACCTAATAAAGAAATAAAGGCATTTACAGAGGTCCTAAAATCAAATGGACCTAATAGATGTCTACAGAACTTTCCACCCAAACGCAAAAGAGTATACCTTCTTTTCAGCACCTCACGGAACCTTGTCCAAAATAGACCATATAGTTGGTCACAAAGCAAGCTTCAACAGATACAAGAAGATTGAAATAATCCCCTGTATTCTATCTGACCACCATGGAAAAAAGCTGGACATCAACAACATTGGCATTAGAAAAAAGCCTACAAGCACATGGAAACTGAACAACTTGCTACTCAATGATAGCTGGGTTAAGGAAGAAATAAAGAAAGAAATTAAAGACTTCCTAGAATTCAATGAAAATGAAGGTACAACATACCCTAATTTATGGGATACAATGAAAGCAGTGCTCAGAGGAAAATTCATAGCACTAATTGCCTTCAAGAAAAAATTTGTGACATCTCATACAAGCAACTTAATGGCCCAACTGAAAGCCCTAGAGAAAAAAGAAGCAAATGCACCCAAGAGGAGCAGACAGCTCTCCCTCCCTCATTCCTGCAGCATTCCAAGCCGCTTTTGTTCTGTACTCTGGCTTTCAATATTTCTGGCCCCTAAGAGGCTATTTCCAAGCTTTAAAAAAAATCTTTTCTTCCTGATTTCTGTACACTCTGCTCCTAAAATATATATATATATATATATATATATATATATATATATATATATATATGCTTTAAATTCCTTTTCTAATGATTCATATAATCTTCTCATTACATTTACAAGATTTCCTTAATCATAACTAACCTTATTTTATCTTCTTTTAGACTAGGACAACGACGAGCCTCATTTTAAATTGGTATGGATTTTTGTAAAAATTCAAAGTTATGTTTTCACTACGTATATGCTTCAACCCTGCTTCAAAATAAATTTTATATAATAATGAAATTTCAAAGTTATAAATATCTATTCAAATTAAGTTGGTTTAAAATGTACATCTAACTGCCTATGTCTTTCCGGTTTCTAAATTAATAAATGCTGTTGCTGCTTCTCCTGCTGTGTGGTGCCCGTGATCCAGTTTCACCACTAGGCTTTCTGCCTAATTGTGTCGCTGGCCAGGTGGTCCTTCTCTGGTCTCTCTTGCCCTCTTCCCCTTCTCTTGGCCTCTCTTGGCCCTCTCCCCTTTCTCTATTGGGGCACCCCCCTCTCTCTTTCCCCATCATGTCCTGCTCTCCCTTCTCTCCCTCTCTTCATATCCATCTAATAAACCTCTTTCACATAAAAGATCTGCTGTATGCCTAATCATCATTATTAGTGTGTCCCATAACATTACACCTAGTGATGCAGTTACATTCCAAATGCATACAAGGGCATCTTCCTGGACAAGGAATAGGAAAAGACTCAAAGCATTCCTTTGCCAATTACTGTTAAGGAAAACAATGGAAGAAAAGGCCTAGAGGCTTTTTAACAGGGGCCACTGTGGAGCCTTGAGGTAGCCATTCCATTGGACCTGAGATGGTCACGAGTATGCAAGTCATGCTGGCTCGCTATTCTTGTTTTCAGCAGACACCTCCTGTTTTGCTTGGTTAAGCCTCCTGTTTTGCCTAGTTAAGCCTCCTGTTTTGCTTGGTTAAGTTTCCTGTTTGGCTTGGATAGGTTTACTTGGAAACCTATATAAGTGGTTTACTCTGAAATAAAGATGGCGCCAAGGCACTTTTTCAGAGCACTGTCTTGGCGTCACCTCTTCGTGTTCTCTGTCTCTTTTAATTCCCAGCCCCTTGTGCAGGCGGTTACTATTGGTGGTCGTGGGTGACTACAGAGCTGCCACCCATGCAGAAAAAATTGATTGGATTTCCGACGATCCTGTGTGGGTTGACCAGTGGCCCCTTACTTCTGAAAAGCTACAGGCTGTACATGACCCAGTCAAAGAACAACTTCAGGTGGGACACATCGTTCCTTCTAACTCACCTTGGAACACCCCCATCTTTGTAATTAAAAAGAAATCTAGCACAATTTTAGCACAAATTTAGATTACTACAAGACCACAGGAAAGTAAATGAAACCATGATTATTATGGGAGCACTGCAACCAGGGCTCCCCTCCCCTATTGGCATTCCTCAAGACAATTACCAGAATATCTTAGCTTTAAAAGATTCCTTTACATCCTGAAGATTGCCATCGGTTTGCTTTTAGCCTCCCTTCCATTATTTTAGGGAACCCATGACGCACCATCAATGGAGAGTACTGCCCCAGGGCATGGCCAACAGCCCTACTCTTCGTCAACAATTTGTGGCCAATGCCACTGCTCCAATTCGGAAAAAATGGCCTTCCATTTACATCATTCATTATATGGATGATATCCTCTCATCTTCTCCTGTAGCCCAGGATGTTACGGTTTGTCGTGCAGATTTATCTGAGGCTGTATCCCAACCAGGGCTAAAGATTGCTCCAGAAAATGTACAAACTAGAGATCCTTATAGTTTCCCAGGCTTTATTCTGTTTCCTCAGGCTATTACGCATCAGAAAGTACCAATCAGAAAAGAGAATTTTAAAAACATCAATGATTTTCAAAAATTATTGGGAGACATAAATTTGCTTTGGCTCTATTTAAAATTAACCACCGGACAACTTATGCCATTGTTTAATATTCTTAAAGGGGATGCAGCTCCAACTTCCCCCCGAGGTCTTTCTCCTGAAGCCAGAGATGCCTTGTTTTTAGTAGAACAAATTTTAGAGAAACAATTTGTTACTTATTGGGCTCCAGATGCTCCCCTGCTATTACTCATTTTTCAAACACAGTTGGCTCCAACTGGATTGTTGTGGCAGTCCAATCCTCTACTTTGGGTTCATTTATCTGCTGGCCCCAGTAAAGTAACTTTGCCATATTATGAAGCCAATACGCAAGTCATTGTGGCAGGATATACCCAAGCAAGGGCTTATTTTGGAACAGAGTCAAATAAAATTATTACATCACATAGAAAGGCTCAGACTGATTGGCTTTATGCAACTTCAGATGACTGGTTGCTTCCTTGACTGGATTTTCAGGACAGCTAGATAATCATTTTCCTTCTAATAAGATTATTCAATTTTTTACCTTACATAATAGTGTTGTCTTCCCTCCCATTGTAAAAAAATAAGCCCTTGACTAATATATGCTCCATCTTCTTTGATGGGAATGCTAAAGGAAGAGCTGGTTATACTGTCGATTGGCAAAAAAAATTGTTTTTCAAGTTCTAGGGTTATCAGCTCAACTTGCGGAGTTGGAAGCTGTTCATACAGTTTTACATTTTTCTGAGCCCTTTAATCTGTTTGCCGACAGTGCATATATTGCTCAAGCCATTCCTAAACTTGAGACGGCAGGTCAAATTTTGCTGACCACCCGAGCTAGTCAAATGTTTAATCAACTCAGAGAACGTATTCAGGCTCGCCATCATCCTTTCGCTATTAATCATGTTGGAGCCCATTCTGGCCTTCCTGGGCCTCTTGCTCTAGGTAACCAGACTACTGATGAAGCCTTGGTGGCTTTGGCTCAGGAAACACCCATACAGACTCAATTGGCTCATGAATTGCATCATCTTAACAGTCATTCCTTACGTTTGACTTATGACCTTACCAAAGAACAAGCCAGAGAAATTGTTTAAAAATGTAATAGTTGTGATGTCTTCCTCCCGGTGCCTCATCTCGGGGTTAGTCCCCGTGGGCTGACCCCAGGTCAGCTATGGCAGATGGCTGTGACCCAGTGTATGGAGTTTGGAAACTTAAAATATATCCATGTTACTATGGAAACTTGCACAGGATGTATTTTCGCCACCCTGCATTCTGGAGAGGCTGCACGCATGTCTAGCCACTTTTGCCCTCCTTGGTGTACCACATCAGATAAAAACTGACAATGGGCTGGCTTACACCAGCAAGCCTCTTCAAACTTTTCGCCGTAAACTAAACATTAAACATGTTTGCCGTAAACTAAACATTAAGCAGATTAAAGCCCAGGAAACTCTAAGGATCTCTCGCTTGTACATTTTCTGGAGCAATCTTTAGCCCTGGTTGGGACAGAGCCTCAGATAAATCTGCATGACAAACCGTACCATCCTGGGCTACAGAAGAAGCTAAGAGGATATTATCCATATAATGAATGATGTAAATGGAAGGCCATTTTTTTTCCGAATTGGAGCAGGCATCCCGTATAATCCTATGGGACAAGGAACGGTAGAATGTGCCCATGCTACCATTAAGATGTATCTGCAAAAAATAAAGATGGGGAACTGTGTCCACCACATTCCTCCGGAGCTCCATTAAATCATGTACTTTTTATTTTGAATTTTTTAACCTTGGATAAACATGGAAAATCTGCAGCAGAACGCTTTTGGCACCCTGAAACGGCGTGCCACCATGCCATGGTCAAATAAAAGGATCCTTTAAAAAACTCATGGCATGGACCTGACCCCGTTTTAAGGATCAGTTTGTGTTTTCTCACAGGATGAGGATGCTGCTCAATGGCTGCCAGAGAGACTGGTGTGACGAGTGGATTACATCAAGGAACAAGATCATGCCTCGAGTGACGATCCTGCTGATCCTACTAAATCTGATTCATCCGGTGAAGACTGATATGGACCTTTGGGCGTTTCTGCCGATGCCTCCCCTCCTGATGCGGGTATCTGTGGACACTCATGTCTTTCCCGATGTCTACAGCGCCAATTCCAGCTCCGGACTCCCATCACCGGCATTTATGGAAATTAAGAAAATTAGTGGTACATGAACCTTTTCTGGTTCCCTCTGCTTTGTTATTCCCGCCAACTCTTTGTTGGCGCTCTCTGGCCCTTGTGTGTCCGTTAGTATGCAGAGACATGCTGATCATGTCTTCAATGCCTCCAGTATCAGGACATTTAGAAGCCTATACGGGTGGAAAGTGGCGGCAGGAAAGCCCAACTGGACACACATGGAGTATGATGTAGCTGAGTCTTTTGCTCCGTCCTGTTCCAACAATGCCATCTATCCCACTGCTCTTCACTTTCCTATTATCTGGACAGAATGCTCTCTGCCTAATGTCCCGCTGCCTCTCCCTGGGACAAATCTTTGGGGCCGTATGCATCATCCGGCTCCAGGTGAACCTTTTTATTTATCCTGGCCTTGGACTTTTGCCAACAGCCTCCTTTGCGGCCGACTTGCTTGCCTCAACTTGAGACCTTTATTGTTTATTAATGGTAGCATCCTCTCTAATCGCACTTTGATGGGAGCCACCAAGCCCGGCATGCTTAAAAAGGAATACAAGCTCAATGTCACAATGCCACCCATCCCTGTTTGTCTCCGTCCCCCTTATTTTTTGCTTGCTAATATATCTACTCATGTGACTACCTTAGATCCCACTGTTGATTGCACCAGTGAAGTTTGTTGGCTCACCAATTGTTGGAATTATTCTTTTTCCTTTGTTGAAATGGTTCACTCCCCTGCCTCTCCTCTTCTAAATTTCTTGTCCAGCCAGGGCTACAGAACCTTTCCTTCTAAGGTCCAAATAACCATACCCATCAAGTCACCTACTTGGGACCTAGAATTACTCCAACCCACAAAGCCATTTACCTTGGATAGAAAACTCCTAACCCAGTTGTATGACTGGAGCTGAGGAAACCTGCCACCCCAAGCCTACTCTATATCCTCTCATCCACCCCTGGGATACCTTTTGGGAAACTTCCAGCCTCTTCACCTGGCTCCTGACTGGAAGGGCTCCAAATTTATTCACCTTTGCAACTGAGTTTGGCCTCAATACCCTTAGACAATCATTCCAAATGGCCACATAATGGCACCCTAGATCCCAATATTATTTGGAACCTTTACAAATACTGTGAGTGACTGGAGAAACAGAAAGAGGTCCCTTATGTCCAAGCCTTCTCTCATCTCTGCTCCCAGCTTTCTCTCTGTTCTTCCTGTTCCCCCACTCAGTTCCTTTTGGCTATGAAGCCTGAACAAGATGATTCCTCCACTATTTTTGATCCGGCTAATGAACCTCTTCCTTATAGGCCTAAGCCACAACTCCCTTTCCTCCAAGCCGTTTCCCTTTCTCCCTCTTCTGCAACAGGTTGCCCAAATCAGCTCTCTCTCACACCCACCTTTAGCACGCCAGTAAGCTCTAGTCCTCCTGTTACTGGCTCCTGCTCCACTTAAGGAGCTCCTTCACCTCACCATACCTTGCCTAAACTAGCCATGGTGCTCCCATATTGGGAAGTTGCTGTGGTGGATGGCTCGGTCAGAGCATGTGTTCCCTTTTCATTAAGCAAACTATCTCAAATAAAAAAGAGAGTGGGGTTCTTCTACCTTTACTTTCCATGACATCCATATGATCCTCACAATCTTCTCCCTGGGGAGCACAGGCAAGTCTGGGATCAGGCTAGGTCACATGCAGATGAAATCCATTGAATTGATTCTGCCCACCCCATTGGGAAATGAGGCTGTCTCTAGCTGGGACCCTGCATGGAATTACAATACCCCAGGGGGCATCCAAGCCAGGGATTGATTAATATTTATTTGTCTCCTGCCCTTAAAGCAGTAAATTATGACAAAATCAGGTCATACAGGACAAGCATGAGAACATGTCATAATTCCTAAAGCACCTTACAAAGGCCCTTTTACAATATACCAATCTGGATCCTGGGAGTCCAGATGGAAGACAACCACTTATGATTTACTTCTTCTCTCAGAGTTTTCCTGATATTAGAGACAGACTTACATGATAGGAGAAAGGATCCCTGACTCCACAGGCAGAAGTCATAACTATGGCCTTTGAAATATACCATGGGAGAGAAGAGAAGGCCCCAAAGCAAAAATGCCTGATGCTATCTAAAGTCTCTC